AATTAACTCCCCGAACTTCGAAGGCCAGTATATCGCAGGGTTAGCTACTGTGATTCCTTGCGATCTTGCTGCGGCACGAAAAGTGCAAAAACGCATAACCGCACCGGTCCGTTTGGTGCGTTCCAGCCTGGGTTTTCTTCTGAAGCGATGCGGTTCCCAATTCGGAAGAAAACAATCGATTCAACAACAATTTTTACAGAGCGCACAAAAATAACAAGTAGCAAACACTTCAAGATTCATTTTCGCTAACATCCTCGTCATCCTGGCTGATCTGGAAGTATCGTAACTCATACGTATCTTTTGCTGGTGCCACCACGCGCAACCAGTCACGAAGCGCATTTCGTTTCAAATACTTCTTTGTGAGGTATTTCAGGTACCTTTTTGAAAATGGTACCTAAACGGGTAGTATCAGTAGTGTTTACTGCAATTTTCAAGGCAAACGAGATCTCAGAGACACTGTTGCATCGTGACACTGTTGCTACTACCCCGAATTATTGCCCAGTCGTGGAAACGCCAAAAAAGCCCAACAACATCTTTCTCAAAATTATATAAAATTCAATTCTAAGAATATATAAGATTTAACAGTGGAAGGTTACCTCCGAAGTGAGGATGACTTTTGTTTTCGCGAGTTCCAACTTCACACCGTTTGTCGCCATCATCCCAACTTTGCCGTTCACTTTGATTCGCTCACTGAGAAAGCTCTCCTAAAAATACGACATCGGACTATGGGGGGCTGTAGCATCCCGCACTTCCATGGGATTTTTTACCCCAATGTCCAATGTCGACGCGTACAGAGATGATAACTCTGCACAACCAGAATTATTGAGATTTTCAAAAAAATTCCTGCACATATCATAAAAAATTATCACTCTTGGTCTACATTACAAGTAATAAGCTGCTCTGAAAGTGGAACGAAATATACTTTAAATATGCTACAGGCATTTCTAGAACGAGAATTTTGAGCACAGAAACAATGTTTTCCTCTCAAAATCTCAGTTTTATCACTCAAGTTCCAACCAAAACTGGCTGATTTTGCAGCAAAAATTACCAAATGTGTAATGGAACAACTGTGTATTAATAGCCGTTTCACATATTGTATCCCAAGACCAAGACCGCCTGGACAACTGATATGGTAGTGATGTTACTGGGATGTCCCGATACGACCGGCACGGCCGTGCAAGGCCTTCGATTCCGAGCTACATACCTTCAGTTTCTTAATCGATCTGCGTGCTACCCCTTCAAAAATGATACATAAATATCAGCCTTAAAGTGGTCAATTCAACGCTAACCCCAATGAAGTTGGTCATTTCAAAGTCCCTCTATGCACCTTCCCGACTGAGTAAGGGAAGACCAAGATGCTAAACGACCGGTTCAAAGGAGGCGAACTTACCTCCTCTTATTTTAAACCTCAATTTTTAATTACAAAGGCATCTGAAAGAGGGAAGAGGAGATGCCCAGCATCAAGAAAGCGCCAAATTCGTTTATTTGGAGAAGAAAAACGAGAAAAATTTTGCTTTTTTCCCCTACAACAGTGATGTAATAGGGCCATAAAATTACGCTGTGGCCAAAACTGTACGCCA